TTTACAATGCATGGAAATTAAAGTGCCCTAAAACAAAAAAGAAAGAAGAACTTAACACTGAGATAAGTGGCCAAAATTTTGATACTGTCACATATTCCTACATAATCTTATGCTTCTTTACGCTTTTGCATGTTTTTGGCTAATTCATATGAATTTGAACCATCTCATAGGGGCTGCCTTTTCTGCACATTTCATACAATCATCATTTGAATGCATTCAAACCAATTAGCCATTAATTTTCCAAAATATGAGGTAATGCTAAAACAACAGAAAACCCAGAGCTTACAAGGTAAAATTGTGCTCAAGCACATCAGTTTAATGACAATCAAACGTCTTTGAAAGAAAACTATGTCAAAGCAAGCCATCTCTATCGTCCGGCTGGGAGCTTGGGACTATCCGTTTGTTAAGTCATGATGTTTCGGTGACGTATAGAATACCATTTACAGGTCCAAGCTACTACTCATTCATATTGAGAAAATATTCATTTATGACTAATGAATTCTATATAAAATTATAGTGTACACATCATTCTCTGGGCTTGCTGCATCACAAATACCAAACTTTGAACAATTAAAAAAAAATTGTATCCCCTTCTGGTCATCTGATATTAGGGAAGGATAAATATTGGACAAGGAAGCCGCTTCACATGCCGTCACACTTAACAAGCAGATTACAAAACACGAAATAAGCATGTACCCACATAAACTCGCTGTCCTCAAGCTTTAAATTAAAATGAGGCATGTGTTACTAGGGTACTCCATTAATAAGCAGCTCTGGTCTAATGGCTCCGCCTACCACACTCTTCTGCAGTGGACCACCAACATGTGCTCAATATATTGTAGTATACAGTCAGCTCTTTGTCACAGGTCTGTTTAATGCCATTGATGTTAATAGCCTCTCCCCTCATTTCTACTTGGGGAAAAAAAAAACCTGACCTAGATCACAGCTCCAAGATGAAGTATAAAAGTGATTATGTTGAACTATGTAAATGTCTCTTTATGTACAGACACAAAAGAATGAGGTTAATCACTGTCTGTCGCATCTATTTACTGATGCATGGTACATCACACACAAAAATAAATAATACAACCTTTTGATCATATATTAAAACAACTAAATTAATTCTGATTTTGATTAAAAATGCATGATTCAAATGATTCATCAGAAGCAACAAAAAATAATAATAAAAAAACAGCTCACTTTAATACCAATCTCATGCTCTCCATCTTTCAGTAACACTACAGAACTGACGCTTATATCAAGTTGTGACTGACAGATCGAGACTGAATAAATTGATGCAACAGACTGACCCAATTGGTTTTCATGACACATTTTGATCCATTTGAATGTGAGAAGTCTCGATGACGTCTCCTGTTTTAAAAAATAGGTCATCACACTCATGCTTTCCAAATCTAAGTGCATTTTTATCTTTGACTAAAGAAGAGATTAAGAAATGTATCTGCCCAACTAATTTGCTTCAATGTTGATAATACAATATCAATAATATTGATACAGGTATATATACAAAATATACATCACTGAAAGTCATACACATTTGAATTGACGAGGTTAAATCCATTATAAAAAAAAAACTTTTACTTAAGGGTGAACTATCTCAGTATAAAAAAAAACAAACAAAAAAAAACACTATATCATGTTTCTTTTGAACATGCAAAATAGATGTCATCAAGTCTTGTTATCAATCCCAGTTGTAAGAGCGACAAATAACAACTTGACTTCTAGTTAATCATTTGGAAAAGTGGCAGAAGGTAGAATATTTCATCTGCTGAACTGCATCCCCATCATCACAAATACTGCACAAGACCTATTGGAACCCGCATGGAGCCAAGATTTTCACAGAAAACAGTTAAGTTTGGTGAAGGAAAAATCGTGGTTTATGGTTGCATTTAATATGAGGGTGTTCGAGAGATCTGCAGAGTGGATGGCAACATCAACAGCCTGAGGTATCAAGACAAATGTGCTGCCCATTACATTACAAATCACAGGAGAGAGCAAAATCTTCAGTAGTAGCGCTCCTCAAGCTTCAGCCTCCACATCAAAGTTTAAAGAAGCAAAGAAGGTCAAGGTGCTCCAAGATTGGCCAGCCTAGTCACCAGACATGAACATTATTGAGCATGTCTGAGGTAAGATGAAGAAGGAGGCAATAAAGATGAATCCAGAGAATTTTAATGAACTCCTGCAAGAGTCCTGCAAGTCATGAGAGTCCTGCAAGAACGCTTTCTTCGCCATTCCAGATGACTTTATTAGTAAGTTATTTGAGACTCTGTAGAGATGTATGGATGCAGTCCTCCAAGCTCATGGGAGTCATACACAATATTATTTCTTTTTCCACTGCACAATGACTTTATATTCTTTACTGTACATTATTTCTGTTAAGTGACAAGACTTCTGTTCAAGAAATGTCAGACCTAACTGTCATAATGAAATAATTAAAAATCAAGGCATGATCATATTTTATTTTGGTAAAATAATTGTAATCTAGAGGCCTCCTACAGTATAAGCCATTTCTGATACCAAATAATCGACTAGAAGTCAACTTATTATTTGTTGTTCCTAAAACTTGGATAGGAGACAAGACTTTTGTCAGGTAGTGTAAATGGACTGTCAACACCACACACTCTCAATGAAAACTGCATATTTTTAAATCTTCAGCACATAAAGGCAGGTAATAATGCCACCTAGCACTCAAGTTTACTCTGACAGCTGATCTACGATGATCTATTGAATGAATGAGCAACAATTTAAAAAAAGCAAATGAGAAACTTCATTAATAATTGACAACACAAAACTAATAATTTCAGTCGTTTAAGCATATTTATAAGCATAAGCAGTTTTTGGTTCATAATTATCCGAACCAGCATACAAAGTCAGTGTGCTTCACTTAAAGCACAGGTGTCAAACTCAGTTCCAAAAGGGCCGCAGCTTTGCACAGTTTAGTTCAAACCCTAATTAAACACACCTAATCAAACTAATTGAGTCCTTCAGGCTTGTTTGAAACCTACAGGTAAGTGTGTTGGAGCAGGGTTGGAACTAAACTGTGCAGGGCTTCGGCCCTCCTGTAATTGAGTTTGGCACCCCTGACTTAAAGCATTAGTTAGAAAGCTAACCCCTGTTAAAAAAGCAGTGCCCTGCAACTTATCAAAAGAACAAAATAATGCTGTTTGACATTTCTCATAATCAAAGTAATAAGGCTGCTGTTCTACAGTTAAACACTCATTAAAACATCTGAACAATATTGTCAATTGTGGCAAGTATACAAACAAATATTGACTCTATGCTATTAAATGTACACCAAATGAAAACATATTGAATTCAAAGCTTTAGATCAGGGGTTCTCAACCAATGGGTCTCCGTGATCCTGCAGGTAGGCCACAAGATAGCTTAAAATTAACAAATTATACAAAAATTTGGAGATTTCATTATTAATATGCTATATTAAAATGATTAAAGTAATGCACTTTCCCATGTTCACTGATTGATTACTTCAAGCTCAGCACAAAAACAGCCTCATAATCACATCTGCAGCTAGTACACGCAAGTCTGTTCTTTCACAAACTATGCGTGAAGTGAAAGTAAAAGTCTCTCTCTCAGTATTTTTGTGTGAACTATTTAATATATCCACATAGTTGTCCAAATTAACGTCCTGTGAGTGTTTTATAACGAAAAAGCACCCATACAGGAGGATATAGCGAGGCTCAATGTGTTTCTGCTATAGAATGTAAAATAAAGTTGTATATGAGCTTCAGACATGCTCTAGCGGAGGTGTTCACTGTTCCTGTTAGAGATCTTCCAATAATATCAAGCTGCAAACTCAACCGCCATCAGATTGACGCTTTAGATTTAGGGTGTTTTACTGTATTTTACATTTGTCTGTATAGTTTTAAATAATAGAGATTGATTAGTAGATTTTCAGTCAGTCCAAGTTAAAGCAGAAGCTGGCCTTTTGCAATATCCCTGTTGACCTGTGGTTCTCTCATAGATCGATTAATAAATAAAGGTTTAAATGAGCATTTCATACAAACATTTTAGAGAAAACATCAGACAGGTGGGCCTTCGAAAAATGATTGGAGAAAGAAGTGGGCCCTTAAATAAAAATGGTAGAGAAACCCTGATTTAGATCATTCTGTATGACGCGAGTCTCTTAGTTAAAAAAATCTACTCTGTATCTTTGTTTACAACATACAAAAAATAATTAAAAACTGTCACTAACCGTTTAACTGCATCTCAACTCATAGCTTCAAGTCTTTAATTTTTCATTTTCAAATTGAGTCAGTCACAAAGTATAGGGGAAAAAGTACAAGGAAATAACAAATTCTAATTTCCAGTATTATTGTATATAGTTATGATGATAGCAAAATGAACTTTCTAAAAATGGAAAAAGGTATTCTGTTTATAATAAGTTGTTTTTGATATGCAATAGTTATCCAAAAGCTAATCAAGATAAACATCTGCTGACCACAGTGTATTTTGCAGGAAACTTACAGCTATCAAAAACCACAAAATTATCAAACAACTTAAAAAGCAAGATAAATCACACACAAACTATTCAACAAATGAAAAATATTGAGGAAAGATTAATATATTAATATTATGTATGCTGCTAAAAGTATTTGCTGAAATAATACATATAAAATTTCTTAAGTAAAAGGTTTTACAATAATCAACCACGAGAAAATGAAAACCACACAGCTAAGAAAAGTGTTCACATCTATTTATTATTATTATTTTTTATAATTTTTGATCATGCTATTATTCACAAAAACACCTGACTCAGAACCTGACCTGTTTTCAGTTTCACCATGATGTGAGAAGGAATTGTTTAAGAGAAACACACACCACCCTCAAACTTTGCATGGTATTAGAGCAGTTTTAAAGGTCTCTCGCTAAAGGCTAAACTCCCGTGATCTTGCCAATAAACACATCCAGTTACCGGATGCTGATCGCTGATCTCAAACGAAGCAGACCATGACATCACTTACCTGCAGCAGGTGAATCAGCGATCACCACGGAGACGAGCATCAGCAGCGCGCACGCGGTGACCTGACGACGTCCCTCCATCATTACACCCTCCATTTACTAAAACTCATGTTTCTTCCAAGGTGATCCGAGGAGATTCCACGCGTTTCACTAGTCGCCGTGAACTGCAGCAGACGAAAACAATACCACTGTTATATAGGTCATACTTTTCAGTGCTATTTTTTCAGCATGTCTTCATGAACACTCCTCTGACCAGATCTAACGATTTAATCACAAACCGAATAAACTGCATCTTGCACGTTAGGAAAAGTCTAAATTTAAATCACAGCTGTAGATTTTAACCACTGAAAAGCATTGCCATGCTGACGGAGTGACGCTCGTGCAGAGCGCGGACAGCACGGTTCCTTTTGTTCCTTAACTTGTCCGAATCATTTCAACGACTCGGTTCTTTAGAACGATTCGTTTTAAAGAACGAGGCGCAATTACGTCATCGAGTTGTCTGTCACTCATTCCATCGTGACAAACATTTCTTATATAGGCACTCACAGGTGTTCATTACATTTTTGTGAACAAGTTTTATAAATTAAGGATATCTGATGTAAATTACGAGCAGTTTGTGTTGCAATAATGTTTTTATGCGAGTCTGAGTCATACAAACAATGAGTTCGAGAGTAACGGTCGGTTAAGTTTTCTTACGGGGGGAAATATGTGAGGTAAGATAAATAACAGTAAAGTGTTCACTTTTAACAAAATACAAAATTGAATTGAATCTGATAACATACACAAACAGGTAAAAGACTGACAGAATCCAGTGGTATAAACTACAATGTTTCTGACAAATACTTGCAGCTTTGAATCAAATTAGAGATACAAGATAAATTCACAACTTACATTAACATTCAATCTGATTAAATCAGTTTTTTTCGATGTGACTTAATCTAAATTTTTCTGTTTTTAACATTTTTTTCACATTTTACCACAAGTGTCTTTCCAAATATAATTCACTTACAGGGAAAGACGATTCTCGTTTCAATGACTCGAATGAATCATTTAGTATGGTTCCTTAAAAGATCCAGTTCAAAATAACGATTCATTGACGACTCGGACATCTCTACTGTGAAATATCACACGATCCGAGTTTCCACAACAAGATCCAAACATTGTTTGCATAATGTGCTGATTTCAAACGGCAAAACTTACATGCTAACACCAACTGCATATTTTAGAATCAACGTAAAGGGTTTGTGAACACACTAGTGAGCGTTAAAGCCCCGGTAAAATGAGGGTTGCACGAGGATTATCGGGATTTCCCGTAACCGTTTCTGATGGTTATGAGAGAAATAGTTGCTAGCCATACGATTTCACGAGGTTTTTATACGTTATTTGGTTAGCTGATAAAAATGAAAGGACGTAACTTAATATTTCCGAAATGGTGCTGTATGGTAACGTTGTATATGTAACAAAGTCTTTTAGACTTTTAACGTTAACGTTATTGATTGTAATCAGCCACCGTCTACATAACGTTATATGTGGTTAATTGATATGGATTTCACTCATATTAACTCGTAGTTACAAACACGTACGTGTAAGTTACTTTATCTTGCGGCCGAGTGTGGTTAAATTGAAAGAAAAGATAGACTTTTAGCACATGCATTGGCTTGCAAAAGCAATTCCTTACCTTCAAAGCAGACAGTTACAGCGGTATGAAGTCGATAGCGTTCAAATCCAGGTTTACATAAGAATTAAAACTTCTGCTTTCCATGATTGCACGGCACAACGGGTGCTTTCTTTTTCAATAATGTCTGGATCCTGTGTGAGCATCACTCACTTTCTCAGATGCAACCAGTCTGTGCTCGGGATTGCACTAAATCCTCCCCTGACAGCAGGACTCGGAGTCTCTCGTATGGGCTGTACGGTCATTGGCTCCCCGCGCTGTCCTTCAGTAATCCGGGTTAGGTTGACACCTCCGCCGGCGTCTGTGGTGTCACGGCAACGCAGTTTGTTACCGGATCGTGTGTGGCTGCGTGTTGTTTTCCCCTGTGCTTGGTTAAAAATAGGCTGGGAAGTTTCCAGACTCTATATTTTTCTAAAGTGCGGAGATTTAGATGGTTATAAAATGATTTGATAGAAGTATTCAGTTGAGTTTGGTTATGTTGCAGCGACCTCTAGTGACTATTGAGGGCAACAACAGCAACAACAACTGGGCTCATGAAAAATGCATTTCATTTTTATTACAAAACATTACTCAATATGCAGGGTCGAAAGACCCACCCCCACTGATACAGTCCAGAATTTGGCCTTTACATGGGCTGGTTTGTCCCAATTTTGACTGCTATGCCATCACAAATTGTAAAAATTACAGATAGAAGAAGGCTTTAAGACAAATTTAATGTTTAATTATTCAAGTGGTCAAATTCTGAAAAAGGAAAGTTGAATGAAATGGGCAGGTTTTTAATTGCCTATAGGCTACACTTTTTAGTTTAAAACAAGTTTTACTAGATTCCTTTTTTTTTTTCTTAAATGATGTATGATAATAAATTTGTATTTAAAAAGAAGTATTTTTTTAGGGATGCTCCGATCAGGATTTTTGCAGCCGATAGCAAGTAACGATTTTTTGACTTGGTGATCAGCCGATACCGAGTACCGATTCTAATGCTTCAATCTTATAACTATAAAGCTTATAATTAATAATATAACACAAAAATGGTAAGAAAAATTACAAACAATTTAATTTGGAAATCTTGTAAATAATGAAGGAATAATTTCTCTAATAAGAAAACATTTGGAGCGCAGATTTGATGCAAAACTGCACACCTATAAATCCACTGCTTCTTTACTAAAAGGAAATAGGCTTATAAACTACTGTTCATTGCAATAATTATATTACGAGAAGTTATATTATTAACTATTTAACCCCCTGTGATCGGTATGATTGGAGAGTAACGATCGAGTCATTAAATGTGATTATCGGCTAATACCGATCTTTGGCCGATCAATCGGAGCATCCTTACTTTTTTCATATTTCTTTATTATTATTTTTAAATGTAAAATGCTAACCTCATAACATTGTATCTAAAACTGTAATAGTTTACAGTTTTAATGCAAATTTGTAAATAAATACTTTGTGATAAAATAGTATGGTAAGCGCATATTTCTACTACATCAAAAAGTGTGCTTATGATTACCATCCGACAAGCTGATCCAGCAAAAGTTAGTGCCACTAAAATGCAGTATTTAAACCTTGCATGAGGTGAAGAACTGCAAAAAAGGTCCACTTTCTCAGAAAAAAGAACCACCTCTTTCAATAGGCTGGCTACAGGCTAGATATGGGTGTTGTTGTAAAATCAACGTTTGTTGACTGAGATCTTACATTTGTATTTCCATTTACATTTTATACTTTAATTGTTAAGGGCAACGCGGTGTAGTGCTGTCACCTAACAGCAAGAAGGTCACGGGTTCGAGCCTCAGCTGGGTCAGTTGGCATTTCTGTGTGGAGTTTGCATGTTCTCTCAGTGTTGTGTGGGTTTCCCCCACAAGTCCAAAGACATGCAGTACAAGTGTATTGGGTAAGCTAAATTATCCGTGGTGTATGTGTATGGATTTTTCCCAGAGATAGGTTGCAGCTGGAAGGGCATCTGCTGTATAAAACATAAGCTGAATAAGTTGGTGGTTCATTCCACTGTGGCGACCCCAAATTAATAAAGGGATTAAGCCGAAAACAAAATGAATAAATGAAATTGTCTGTAGTGTGTGTGAATGAGTGTGTATGGTTGTTTCCCAGTGATGGGTTGCAGCTGGAAGGGCATCTGCTGCGTAAAACATATGCTGGATAAGTTGGTGGTTCATTCCGCTGTAGCGACCCCAGATTAATAAAGGGACTAAGTTGAAAAGAAGATGAATGAATGAATGAATGAACTTTAATTGTAGTGTTAAAATTTAGCACCATTTCGTTTATTAGTTTTAGTTTTTGTTAACAGATTGAAATAATTAGACACCACACTTCAAATCCCCAATAAAAAAGCAAAATTATAATAATTATAATTTAAAAAAGTACAAATTTATTTAACAAATTATAGTCCCATACTGTCTGTCATTGAGAACCTTAACATTTCAAAACCTGCTGACTAGAATTTCAAAATGGAGAAAGAGACTTTTAGTATTCACTTTACATTTTCTTCTTCTATTTTTACCCATATATCTATTATATCTTCTTGTTTATTTATTTATTTTTATTATTATTTGTTTATTTATTTATTTATCCGTGTCTTGATTAATCTTTGCATACTTATTAAAGGCCTCAGAAAATAGCGAAGGATGTTGCTTTGAAAGGGGGAGAAATGTTTAGGTTTGATTTAAGAGTTCTACAGTTTTCTTGTTTTTGTTGTTGCTATATATTTGATGGCATCTCTTTGCTAACAGGACTTCTGTTTTTTCATATACATTTATGAGTTTGTAAATTATCTGGAAAAAAAACACAATAAAAATATTGAAATAGGAAAAAGAAAGGACAATAAAAAAAAGAAGTATACCTTGAAATACTGCATCACACTAGCTTTGTGATACAAAGTACTGAAAAAGAAACTTACAGCAATCAACAAAAATCAGGGGTCAGATGCTTTCTGAGGTCTCGAAACATTGTAGAAAAATATTTAGTATTTACATTTTGACTGTGAATGTTTGCTGCCTGCATTCTTGCCAATCTGTCATTTATTAGTATATTCAGTAAAGGGAAATAAGATTTGTTTCACTATATTCATTTTTATTGTTGGTTTTCCTGTCTTTTGTGGTTAAATGTGTAGCTTTTTAATGTTTGGTGCACTTGAACGTGAGGCAACAAGAACATAAAAAAAATTCTCTGCATTAAACACAAGAAAGAAACTCACAACGACAGCATGAAAATACAAGACTGATGCCGTGACTTAACAGTTTAATGTAAATCCAAGACAAAGTGTGATTACATTTCTACACATATACAATATGCATATGTGAGCATACAAATTTCCTTTAATAACTCGATTCACCTTGGAGACCGAAAAATGATCAAAAGTAACAGTGAATAACAAGCTATAACATAGTTCACCACGACGCGAGCCCCTTCACACCCTACAGTTAGTAAATAGAACGATTAAAATAACTATATTCTTCTCTAACCCCCAGGTTTGTTAAAAATCCTCCATGAATTTACACTGCTATCATTAGTTGTCGAAGCCTAATAAAATTCACTCAGGTTTGTTTTTTTGCGTTTTTTTTTCTACAACGAAAATCATTAAGAGAAGCACACAACATTTGTAATGGTAACACAAGCGCTTAGAAGCAAGTACTCAATTTTTAGGAGTTAAATCATTCTTATTATTGTCATTATTATATTCATTTTAACATTCTATAAAGCCAGTAAAATATCCATTCTCATAGCATACTTAATAATATTAGCCTAAGGTACAGGGTACATATAATGCTACGTTAACAGATCGAAATAATTAGACACCACACGTCTTCAAATCCCCAAGAAACAAAGCAAAATGATAATAATTATAATAAAAAATAGGACAATAAACAAAGAAGTATACCTGGAAATACTGCAGCACACGA